AAACAAAGGGCATAAATTACGCTTTTAAGCGAATTAAGTTTATCATGCAGCTTGGCGGAACCCGGGCGCAAGTTGGCAAGTAAGTTAGATTTTAAGATGCTCTCCGTCGCGCACGGATTGCGAGTGATCGAGGTATAGTCGGTAGAAAACGTTGTGCCATCTGGGGCCTTGTTTAGTACCGAATGGACTAAGTTGGTTTATTGTTTTGTTAGTGCTAATGGAAGGAACTACACTACAGTTTTTCATATTATAATTGTAGTGTAGGCAACGATTGGCAGTACCGGAAAATAAGAATTATTTTTTGTTCTTTTTCTTTGTGCTCATTTGACAGCCTTCTTATTGTGATTATTTTATGTATTTAATTTATGGAAAACATATTGACTCGAAAAAGTATTAGGAGCAACTGAGGAAGATCTCCATTTACTCGCAAACGCATGCATGTCCAAAAAAATCAAGCAATTAAAAATCTTAAACGAATGAGAAAACACGCTTTATACAGAGCAATTAATAATGTTGTATGGACATGGCTGATTATTTCCATTTATGTAGTATCTACAAGCAAATTTTGTGTGTCTATTGTCTGTCGGTGTTTGTCGGTACTACGGTGCTATGTGCTAGGTGTTGGGAATGCGTTATCAGAGTTTCCGGCAAGGTTTAACAGAGTTCCGGCACGATGAAAAGGTGTTATATTTGAAAAAAGAAATGTGCCAATGGCTAGAGAAAGCAAACATTCAACAACGCAATGAATTTGTAGCTGGAAAAACAGAACGAATTTACTGACACGACTTTTGTTTTTGCAAAATAATTGAAAAATCGTAATTCGCCCTGTAAGATTAATAAGTTGTAAACTAGTGGTCGGAATGTCATGAAATTTTTTTTTTTTTAAACCCAGATTCTCACAATAGTCATCTTACATCCGTATGTCGTCGTAAGAATTTACTGGTCATCAATAAAGGTTATAATGTTTAAAATTAGCATTTATAGCCTCTTGTAAGATCTGAAGGTTTTCCTAGCGTTGTTACGATAACAACCATTGATTGAGTCGGCTAAATAAGATTACATCGTTATCACTAACTGCTTTAACCACATTCGACACTACCGGAATATGAAACCTACAAAAAAAATATCTGAAGTGCGTATGTCACCAATGTAGAGCGAAGCAGTTTAAAGCTCACCATTTCAGTCTACCCTTGCTGCAAGGAGCTCGTGTCCACTAGACGACCACGAGGCTGCCGAAAGTCCACCGAAAATCCACCTATAAGTGGACAACAAAACAAGACATTACGTCCGCTTTTCCAGAAAAACCTTTTCATTCGGACACATTTCGTAGCACAATATAGGGCCTTGGAAGCGTTTCGGAAATATAGCATATCGAGTATTATTTATTAGCAACATTTACTGATTGAATACATATAATCCGCGTCACGCATTATCAACGTAGCCTTTCCCATGCAGCGCCACACCACTTTTTCCCTGCAATTCGTCAGCAGCGTCGCAAAGAAGAAATAGCAAGCGCGAGGTAACGAAACTACGAAGTAGTGAAACTGCCTTTTTATTATAATCCTGGTTGAAAGCCAATGTCTTTCAACAGGCGGATGATGCTCGTGGCCTATTCGCAATTAATGTTTTCTTATGCAAACTACCACCTACGTTTGGCTTATGCAGAAGCAATGTATTGATAATTTATAAACAGTTCAAAATAGGTTAAGGCAGTTATAAGCTGTCTCTTTCTCGCTTCCGATAGTCGTTGCTCTTTAGTAAGTGTACGCATGTCTCATTCATTTTTCAATCATTATATATATCGGTCGTTTTAATAAATAAGGCATCATCGGTCATCAACTTGCAAATAAAATCAATAAAAAATGCACCCCATCTTCGAATTCCGCTCGTTTTTGATTTGCAAGTGTAAGTCAAACATCGTTCCGTTATTAAGACCAAAAAACATTGATGAAAAAGGAACCAAGAACACGTATTTGCTACACGAAATTGTGATTTTTTTTATTGTCACGTTTACTGCCACTTAACGAGCACACTGAATGGAAGCCTTTGAACACATATTAACCTTTCCGTTTTGCACAAGGAGAGGCCTCTTATAATAAACTGAATGGTGTGTGTTAATTCACTGTTGCTGTGGTATATGAATTTGTTGTTATATTTGATGGGACGGTTCTTGCGTACTGTTACTTGTCGAGGATATGCTTTACAACATTAGTTTATTTCAGTTCTATAATTCATTTGTTTCTGGTGGCAAGCAGAATTGCCAAGTCGGACACTCCTCATTTCTCTTCTACTTTTTTTTATTTGCACATAAAAAACATATTTTGTATATTATTATACCTCCATATACACCTTACAATCTGCATTACACGAACAATTATATATACATATATTGCATATTTCAATACAATTGTAATCTATTAACAATCCTACCGTAAGGTTTCCTGCGTACGATTCTCATTGCGAACCTTTATGAATACATGCTTAATATTAAAACATGGATTCATCTTATCTATGTTTAGAGAAAAACGTTTCCTTTTCTTAGGGGTCTGGATGAGAATCAAATATATTTATAATTTCACGCAATTGCTGTTTTGATTTGCGTAAAAATTTAACCATGTTTTATAATGGAGATGGTTGCCCAATAAATAGAAAACTAATATATATATTCTCTATAGAAATGGTTAATGGATGGTGTATAAAACGTACAAAATTTCTTATCAACGTGTAATATGATATTTGATATTTAAGAAATGTGTTTAAAAATTTATTCCCAAATATTTAAGAATGTACATATATTTTAATTAGAACATTTTTTATCTTTTAAGTTTATTCATATATTAATATTTTACCTGCTCTGAGTAAAACATTATATTAAAAAATCCCTACAATACTTACCCGACAAGTTATCGAATTGTGGGTCAGGCCACAACCCTAGCCACCATGGTATAAGTATCGTGCAAGAAAGCAGACTCGCCTTACACCGGTAAGGTCGTCTATGCTTGCTTTGTAGCATAGGAATTTTTCCTTATTGACGCTAGCTCTCAATAAGATAAATAGGAGTATGTAAATCTCTTCTGAAGTCTGCTCGGCTACCTGTCCTTGATTCACCGTCAACAGCGCACTAAGAAGGCTAAGTAACGAGAGAACGAGTAACGGAAAGGCTATCTTTCGCACCGAGAGAGGCCAAAGTTATTCTCTGAAAAGTATCTAGCGCGATTATTGATTTTTGCTTTGTACGGTAACAAATTATTGGTAAGAAACTAAACGACTAAAGATTTGTGTGCGGCGTCGGAGAGGGCATCGAGCAGTGAGAAGGTGACACTCTCGGCATCTTGCAAAATGTCTGTAACGCGGCTTCTGGACACGTCGAGCATAGCTCGTGCATTGACAGGTAGTAAACGCCGCGTATTTAATTCATTTTGCTACGTAGTGGTATTAATATTATACTCCAGGTCTCCAGCGGGGCAAAAGGCCCTGTGAAGCCGCGGAATCCGGGTACGTTCATAAAATACTGAGTCCTGTTTGTTATACCCTTTTTCGATTATGTTGAATAAAACCGATAGCGATAATCAACTGATTTGCCTTTGTTATTGCAGTAATGTTAATGAAGTTCTTCTTCTTGTTTTACTTGGATGATGGATAGTATTAATTACACAATTGCATAAGTTATGCTTCAATTATAAATTTTCATATTGTGAATTGCAAGCTATTGGATCGGTCTTTACCGTATTGCCTATGATGCCGGTAAAAATATTTCCTGAAGATTTTCAAAATCTTTGTTTCGATTTCTTTTTGAGCATGATAACAATTTGTAGCAAAATTGAATGTGAAAATATTTTTCTTTTACTTCGCGGAAATAATATTCGATTTTTTTTAACTGCTGACAATTAGTCAATATGTATGTTGGCAATACGGAATTTTCCTTAGCGGAGACTTACCACGCTCTCCGTAGGGCAGTGCTACTCGAATAACGTTTGTTTGTTTGGAACAATAAACTAATCAGGTATATTTTTTTTTGAAAATCCTTTATTATTCAAATTTCTGTGAGATAAAATTGTTTGCATAAATTGAGAAGGGGCCTAACAATGACTGCCTTTATGAGGAGTAATCAACAGTCTATATCTCACGTCGACCGTGCCGGTTAAAATTGGGATCCACGGTTTGAAGAACCCTGCAAACAATTTCACTCTACATTTTTTTGACAGTTGACAATTCTTTATGCAAAATGTATGACCATATATCTTCAAGGAAAAAAGTTTGTCCCAGATAGAAACGACAAAAAAGCATTTCAAAAATCATTCCTTTTTTCCAAATTCGGGCATACGTACATATCATTTTAATATAGTATAATAATAAATGCAGTGGTCCTACTAATTATTACGTATTAGCCAACTAAGATTTATTCAAATTCTTCAATAGTAGCAATAAAGGCGTTCAAACCATAAGTTATTAAGTCAGAAGTCGCACATGGTATTTCAACGGTATTTATATGTGTACGTTTACAAAAGTTTATATTTATTTATATACAAGATAATGAGAACATCGTACTTACTTAATGTATATTTTTTGTTCCACATGTGGAATTGTTTAGGTACATATAGAGAAAAAGGGCGAGAAATGGTCAAAAGTTTCTTTTGGTTATACAAAAGGAAGCAATATTAAACCTTTTTTTATTAACAATTTGCAATCAACAAGCAATACATTCGCTTATTCAAAACGACGCAAAGCTATGGTGACGGTTTAAACACTATTGCTTTTATAATTCATGGTTGTTCGTTCACTAGACAGGCGCGAGGCAAAGCTTAAATATCTATTACAGTCACATCATATTATAAGAGATTATAGCAACTGCTTCTAAACCAATCTTTATTCAATCCTCTTCCGTTTCTTTGAAAATTCCAAGAAAAATGTTTCAAAAAACCTGAATATGTCTAAAGTTACATCATTAATTTCTAAAGTTTAATCATTAATTTCTAATAAATTTAAAAGGTTGTACTTACATTGTATTTATTTGGCCTCATTGTAACCATTTGTTTTGCATATAATTATAATTCGCATTCGGCTGTGGGTTGCATTAATTTTAGGAAAATCAACGTTTAAAAGATAATCTTTCAAAGTTGCGTATTAAACGAGTGATCTCCCAGTTCATTTTTAAAGTATTTGGTCAAAGACACATCTGTAAAAGATCAGGAAGAAAAAATTTTATTGCACAACATTTTTCTGGAATATTTGTTAGTTCTTCCTTCTTTCGATTTATTATTTTTGCTTTTTTGTGAAGAATGCATTTGATTTCATTCATATGTTGTGTTTATTCAAGTTGTCTTCCGCTGACTATAAAGTTTAGTTATTTACTTAATTAATTAAGTCCCATTATAGAACAAGCCAAAAGCTGAATGTAAATTACAAAGTAAATTGTAGTAAGCATAAAAAAAAGACATCAGATCAACTTATAATATATACCGGAATTCAACTAAGCACTAAACTAAGATGCAAGGATATATGCTGACAAATGAACATGTGCTTTTTTATATTAATAGTAACAAATGAGAAAAAAATCATGTAGAAAAAAAATTTTATTATGTCATTTATCTGAATTGGGAGGAAGCTCGCAAATTTTTAGTAGTCAGTTACGCAATATAATGCTTTTAACATTATTAACGGGCAAAGCGGAAAAGTCAAGTCAGTGGAAATGATCGTTGAACATGCTATACATTAACTGAAACGCATTGAACAACTCATAATTTTTTCGGCAATGCGGTAGCCCCAAGAGCACAGGATGTCTTGAGACCCCACTGGAGATATGAATGCCAGTATGTTTTAATAAAGCCGGCGAATAAACTTTTCGTTTTACTATATTAAAGTCGGGAGTTACTCCTAATGTTTCACGCAATTTTTCAAGGGTAAGCAAATCAGTGAGCTTCCATCTATCATTATACGGTGGAAGAAGTATGGCAGAATCTCATCTCAAAGCACGTAAAGCAAAGAATAAGTCCCGTTGAGACAGTCTCCAAGAGATCAACCTGTATACAAGCACTTGTTAACGTATGGGTAACTATAGCCTCTATATGAATTACAAATTTGAGTCTTGGGTCGAAACAACTCCTACGTCTTTGTAACTACAGACGTTTTCCAGAATGTGAATACGATACCAAGAGGACAACGTATTACAGTTTGTTTTCGCTTGGGAAATACTTTCTAAAGGGGATTACAAAAGTTCAGAGTATTAGTGGACGTTAATCCACATTTGAAAGCACTGTTGACAGTGCGATATCACTAACCCTAAAACAGGAGTAAGCGTTTTGTTTGTTTGTCGTTTTGGCAGAGCACTAAGTTTGGCAATTATCCTATAATTCCCAATAAGTTTTCGACATCCACTTTTACAAAGAGTCAAAATACTCTTCCAAAAAGAAACATCGCCACAATTCATTGAGTATAGATTGCTAGGTATGAATTTCTTATCTTACTTTACGAATTATTCGGCAGTGTCCGATACGTGTTCATATTTCTGTATGGCTAATTTTGAAAATTCTTTGTGGCAAGATGTAAATGTGTTCCTACAAAACACGAGAAAGATTCAGCAGCTAATCACATGTTACGGTTTTAACCGAATTAACGGATGGGACAGAAAAATCTGATTCCTTTTACCTAGTATCCCTAACGGGTTGAACAGATCGTAATTAATACAATAAAACCCTCTAAGGAACATTAATAAGTACAAGTTTTAGCATAGAAAAGGACTAAATGCCACGATTTATTAGGTCACAAAAGAACGTTACACTCAACGTTTCACGCCTTTCCTCTCGGGTAGATAAAGCGATAAGTTTCAGTCAATTTCCATACACTGGAACAGATAATCTTATCCTTAAGCAAATAATGTGAAGTGACATTGAGCAGACTCAAGAAGGTAAACGTAGCGCTATAAAAATGGAGACAGACAACAGCCGTATATGCTATCGTTGATTTGCCTAAGGATGTGTATAATACGTCGGTAACATAAAACACATTATATCTTCTGGATCATCTTTTTAGGATATGGTTGTCGACAGTAAATGACAACTTCCTACGTCCCTTTAAATTCATAGCATAACACTTATCTATATTCATTCACAACAGCAAAGCAAGGGAAAAGCCTAACTCATTCGCAGACATTGTTACAGGGTTGAACGCACGCAGGAAGTTCATTCAGCAATAAAATGAATAAAAATTAGAAATAGAGGACAGCTGCTCTGAGCGAAAACGCAATATGCCAAGATTGATGAGAATTGAACAACACACATTGGGCGCAACTATTGAGGTAAGTGCAGAAAAATGCAACTATATTTTGGGGAATGCCACAATATCGTAGTTTTAAACCTAACAAACAATAATCCATTGTATCAAACGCTTTGGAACACTTAGTGAAGGTATCGCTTTGAAAACTTAATTACACAACTGCAGAAGGTTGGTGAAAGTTGGCCTGTTTCTTAAGCAACCACGATGATAAGGCAGTTTTATAACAGAAGTAAGTCTTTTTGTCACAAACGGTTCAAATAATGTAGGTAATAGGTTAGGTGCCGTAAAACTTCTGCAATTCTAACTGATCCTTCTGGGCCTATTTTTGTAGAGTGGCATTGAAAAGCCAGTCTTCTAAACGGACGGAGATTAATGCCTATTCAAACAAATATAAAAACACCTGGAACACGAAGTAAATGAACATCGAAAAATAGAGCACGGCACACAAATGGGCGCAGAAAAGCTGCAATAATTGAAAGTAGATCTAGCAACATACCTTATTAGAAAATGGGAGTTAGTGGGAGGAATATCTCATGGTGATGTGCAAAAAGTTTGAAAACTGCATACTTGCTTTAGGGGTCACAAATGTCAAAGTTCATCAGAGAAAGATGTTCCCCTACTCTACGTGTACAATTAACGAATTTGAAGAACTGCTTTGAGTTATTAAGGAATGTAATTCGTAATACAAACAGCTCTTAGTGAATTACAATCTCATCCAGCCCTAGAGTACAACATATTGTCTCTAAGTAAACCACAGCGTTCCTACTTTTAGAATTGCTTGCTTTTAAAGGTCAAGGCTGTTAGCCAAAGTATGACTAGACTTTAACAGAAGTCAAACAAAAATAGCTGTAGAAAGTCATACAATAAATGAAGGACGATAAAACTATGTATGCTCTAACAGTATAAGTCTCACGAAACTATACATAAGAAATTTCAAAATTTATGTCAGAACCCTATAAGAGCTCTCTTTTGGAAAAACTATATTTGTGGGAAAACTTGAATGACATGCTTTTCTCCAAGAACAAACATTTAATCACTCAAGTTTCTTTTTTTTATGATCGAACAGTCTTCAAATCAAGCTCAATATAAAGGGTACTAAGCGGGTAAGCAATGATTGGTTAAACTGATTGGAGAAAAAGGTGCGCCGCACAAATAAAAATAATGAAATAGAATTTTATTCGATTAAGTTATGGAAATGCTCACAAACGTCAAAGCATGGGTTGAAACATACATACAAGTCATAAAAGGCCAAAGTGTCTGTTGTCTGCTAGTACACACTTACTTGTCAGTAATAATCATAAGGTGAAGTGGGGTTGTGGGTGCATCCTTTTTTCTTAACCCACATAACGATGAGATGGCACAATAATTCTTTGTTTAAACTTATACCTGAAGTTGTGGTTATGGCTCTTTGTAGGTCCCCTATGCATTTGCGAATTTGTTATACTAATTTTTTACTTGACAATATTTCAAAGGCAAAGTACGAGTTAATCGACTCTTACGAAGCGAGTAAATAAGAAAATTTAATAACCGCTCTTTTTTTACGCTTTTTATTGCAACCATCTCTCATGGTCAATGATCCAAACTAAGCCGACCATGTTTAAGATTATTAAAGATCCGAGCCAAGCATGCTCTTCAAATGGTGCCAAGAAGTTACCCTTTTTACTTTGCGCATGCAAATCCGGAGTGTAAAGAAACAAGAAGGCGGTATCGAATTTTCAGCCTTGATGTAAACTATCGAATTCGGCAAAACGATTTAAGCGTTAAGCTGCACTCGCACCAATGTCAGCCCCGTTACGTTGCATGATACCTAGAAATCCCAACGGATAGCTTGAATTATGTAAGTGTCCCGCCCAACCGCGGGCATTGCGAAATTTCACGGGGAAATTTAAACGATGTAAAATATTAAATAGTTCATAATGGTATTTGGTAAAAGCTGAAACACCCGGATGTTTGCTTGAGCGTAAAAAAATTTGTTCAATTTGGTCATTATCGGTTATATTGTCTGGATCGATCTTTAAGGGGAAAATATAAATGTAAATAAAGAATGAGATCTATATCCCACATCCACTTACCACCTTAGCACCTCTAAGTTTTAATCCTTCAAAGTAGCCTCTATTACGTATACCTTGTATATCATTTATGTCATTCTTTGTTACGCGTCAAAATATTTGAGCAGCAAGAAAAAGACCGGTAAAATATATTTACTTGATCATAAAGTAGATTGAAGCTCCATTCACTTGATATATTCTACAAATTTTTTTAAAATTTAATCGTCAGCGTGCGTACCTCCCATGCCCCTCATTACTTGCAATCAATTTTTCATGTTTTTCATTCAAATCTAGCATAGTTTTAAATTGGCATCCTCGCTGCTCCTCTTACCCACTAAACGGAGGCAAACTGTTAAAGGACATTTTCGAACTTACCGAAGATATTAGACTCGACGTCAGTGCTTTCGTCTGTGATCGAGGTTCAGGCAATAGTAAGATGGTGAAGAAATTTATAAATGGTATTTTTAATAGAAAAAGACGTGATGGCAGCAGACACCAGATTCGCCTCCTGTTTGATTATCCGCAAATCGTGTCTGCATTCCGGCAAAAAATCGACAGCAACCAATTACCTGTCGAGGGCGACATAAAGGAGTTAATCACAGTAATGGCGAAGACGCGCTATGCCAAATCGCAGCTCTGGGCCCTGAGAGCAGCCATCCCAAATCGCAACGCACCCTTTGCCAAGTACGCAACACATGAATTTTTCCAGCCTGCTGTGGTGTCATACATCCAAGGAGCAATCAATGCTAAAGTGCTGCTCGTTGACACCTCCCTGGCGAATCAAATGTGCGAATTTATAAGGAGTTTAACGAAATTCGTAGGCGTATTCCATCGGGTGCGAATAAATACAGAGATC